CGCCTTCCAATAATTTTAAAAATTACATTAAAATTAAAAGCAGGAACATAAATATAGCATGTGACAAAATTTCTTCAGAAAAATAAAATTTTAAATGTATTGCATTTAGGAATAACCCATCATTTTCACATGGTAGCACTAAAATTTATTAAATGAATAACTCCATTTTAAAAAAGTCATTAAGCCTGTATAACTTTTAACAACAACTTTTCTCCCTTTAAAAGGAGGACACATAAAAGTTTGTTTTGTTTTGGTTTTTTGGTTTTAGGTTTTTTTTTCAATTCTTGTTTTGGACAGAAAATATAATCTATTTTATTAAATTGCCAAGTTCAGAAGTGAATGGAGCTTATTTCTATTAATATCATGGCACAACCATAATTGAAGTTCTCTGACTGTTTTAGGCAAAAGAGACAATTTTGCAATTTTCAGTATAACTGGATAACTATGTAATTGTATTTCCACTATAACTTGCACCTTAAACTGCTGAAAAGTTTTACGTGTGTGTGTGTGTGTGTGTGTGTGTGTAGTATTATACAGATAGATGGACAGATAGATATAGATACACGTATATACATAGAGATATAGAGCTAGAGAGGGTGGGGTGCTGGGGTGGTGGAGAGTATGTCCTGTGTCCTGCTAGGGAAAGAATAGATGTTGACCACAGCTATCACACAATATCTACAGCAGTTTTAGCTGATGACTCACAATTGGGAAAAGGAAATATTTTTCAAAGGGAAATTGGATGGGTTGGAAGTTGTGGGCATGGGGTGCAAGGAGAAAAAGTGACACATTGAAAAAGAAGGTTTTGTTCCTGGGAAAGCTTCCTTCTAGAATTGAAGGAATAAAGGTGGGGAGGGAGGTCTTGCCAGGTCAAAGAGGCATTTCTGGGATAGAATCAATTATATTTGGATCTGCTGGATATGAAAGGCAGAAAGAAAAGAAAAAAAAACAGAGCTGAAAATGACCCAGGCATTTAGAGCTTAGGATTGGGTAGTGAAGTCACAACATCAACTGAGTTCAAAATATGGGAAGAGCCATTCTGGGAGACTGGTCATAAATTTCATTTGCAGTGGGATAAAAGCTGTCTCTGATTCAGCCAGATGGGACATAAAGTCAGTATTGGGAACAACAAATCTGGGGTCAGGAAGGAATCTAAGGCAGAGCTTCTGAAATGTTAATGTGCATAGAAATCACTAAGGAAGGGATCTTGGTAAAGCGCGGATTCTGATTCAGCAGGTGTGTGGTGACAGCAGAGATACTGCATTTTTAACTGTCCCTCAGGTGACGTTGCTGGTCCAGGGATGACACTTTGAACAGCAAGGTTCTCACTGAGCGTAAAGAGTCAGCTGTTCAAATAGCGTTCCTCATGTTTGGGGGAATGAGTCTCAGATACGGTCAGGCCAGGGTGGCCCTTAAACTGACAGAGAGATAAGACCGTATCACAAAGCACAGCTTCATTTGGCCTTGTTTCATGTTTGACCTTCCAGATGGTGACTCAACAAGGGATACATGAATTTAATTACAAACAAAAAATTTTTGTTTAAAATGACTGCATTCAATACAAACTTAAGATATAATTTGGTGAAGGTTATAGTCTCAAAAACTGCAGTGCCAAATCAGAGGATGTGGGGATAGCATGATCACAGATTTCCCTGAAGGAAACTTCGTTTCCAGTCCCAGTTTTGCCACCAGCTGGCTATGTGACTATCTGGGTCTCCCACTCCTCATCCATTAATTGAAGAGTTTGATCTAAAAGATTTTTATTTCTCTGCCTCATTTCCCCAGTGAATTTTGCACCCCTATTAAGTCATTCATCTGAGTTGGCTTCTATCGGCCATTTGGGTGGGTGCCTCTGCCCTTCTGTAGGGTGCTTGTCCAGGAAAGGAAGAGCCAGACTTGGCTTCTTTTTATGCTCAGTCCTAAACCCTCACACACAACCCTTCGCTCACTAATAGCCATTCACTAAATGTGTGTCTGATTAACCTCCAGCTCTAACATATAATTATCCCTTAATTTCAAAGTTAGCATCACCGTAGATGCTGTTAACTTAGTAAAAACATCTTACAGTGACCTGGCTCAGTCCCTTTGCTGTGCAGCCATCTGCTCAGTGTGCACCAGAGTAGGAGTGTAGGGGATCGTCGCAGAATCAGATCTAATTGATGACCTGAAGCCTTGAGAAGTATGAGCACAGATTCTGATTCCTCCAACATTTGCTTGCCTCTGGTTTATCATCTCAATAAGATCCAGATTCCAGCCACTTGGAGCCTATATCATCCAAGTGTGCAGACACTTTGCTCTGATCTCTGGTCCTCGGGACTCAGCAGAGGAGTGAGCACACATTGGGTCTCAGCTGGCTATGACAGCAAGCTGTGGATGAGGTCTTGGCTCCTTGTGCACAACGTACATTTGTGTACAGTGAACCTACTTTATACACACTGCCTTGTGTATGATGGCCCCTCCTACAGGCCATGCCTGGGTGTCCCCATTAGCTGGAATGTTTCCTGCTGTAGAAGGGACTTCCTATGTAGACGTATTATATCTATATTCATTCTTGCCTTAAATTAAAAGTCCTTTTTAAGCAATATGTATCCTTTCTTCAAGCTCCTGACTTCGTCATACCCCAAATACAATAAACATTTTCCTATCTTTACTTTGCCTTTGTATCCAAGTTTCCTTCTTTGTCTTTCCACTACTGAAGCTTATCACTGCTGTGCGTCACTGGTCTCCTGTCACTATCTTCTGAGAGCTTAAGTTGTCCTAATGGCCTTCCTAAACACCCTCTGCAGTACAGTCTGCTCCTCTTGGCACTCCCAAGCACCACCGGCTTCTTTGGGTACATTCTGTTCATAATCCTCCCTGGTACTGTCATTGCACTCCAGTGACAGAGCTCACTGTCCCAGTGTTCAGTGGCTGCCACTGTGAGAGCTGCTGCATGAGGTACAGGAGGCTGCTCTTCCAGACTCCAGTCTGATGATCACCACACCTTCACTACAGCCCGGACACCTCGTGAAAGTGCCATCGGAACACATTGGTGTGATTCTGCACTTCTAATCTGAGATTCAGCAAAGAGGCCTGGAGTGAGGCACAGTCAATGGCTCTGCTCCTTCTAATATGATGACAAACCTATACAACGGGTGCCAGGCCACTGCTAATGCTGCTCTTGGATAGAGTAGGTTTGAAAACAATACCAACAACAACTGCTAATCTACAACCAGTCAAGAGTTTCATGTACTGAGCACCCAGCCAACACAGGTGCCCAGGTAACACCAGAGGTCTGACAAACAAGGAGGACATGGTGTCTTTGCCAGAGGAGTTCACCACCATGAACAAATGTCTTCCAACACCTCCAAAGAACAAAAGCAGATTGCATAAAACCATTCTTAATCATCATGATAGAGTTAAGTGATCTTCATTTCTCCCTTTAACTTCCCCCAATGATCTTTGTACCCCTATTAAATCATTCATCTGAGTTGGCATTATTTTAGCTGCTTGTGTGGTTTCCTCTGAACTTCCATGCTGTGCTAGTCTGGGAAAGGCAGGAACCACATCAGAACTTCTTTTGATCCACAACCCCCAGTCCTCACACAGTCCTCTGATCATAGCATGTGCTCACAAAGTGTGTGACTGACTAAATTCTAGCTCGAACATCTTATGACCACTACCACCTTAAATCGGTGAAAAGGGTCTGTGTCCTCCAATATCTCCCCCTATCTTTATCAATAGATAAACACCCATTGATTGGTCTTGAAGGATTATTTGATATGAGAGCTATAAAAAGTCTTAGATAGTATCTAATCCCATCCCAGGTCCCTTTTGATGAAGGAAAAGAAAGTACCAAAAGCCAAAGGAACCTCTCAAGGTAACAAGGTTCATTTGTGACAGACTCATGATTCAAACCCAGGTCTTATCTTTTCCAATTTAATACTCTCCACACTCACTGTGCTATGATCCCTCCAGGCTGATTACCACCACTATGTTCATCATGCGTCACTAAGCTCAGTTTCCTGGACTCCTGGCTCAGAAATGTACATAAAAGACGGTGGTATTTCTTTCTTATTAGCATCCTATCAGCATCCGAGGCTTATAAGGTACAAATCATAGACAGTCTACCCACACATCCCCAAGCATCTCAAGGCAATGATGAAAGAAAAATTATTCTTCTTCAATAAACAAAGATCCTTGGTAAGGACTGGCCATTCAGAGAAAAACCCCTAGCTGGGTCACTCTGTTTGGCACCACTCACCATGCAGCCCCTTCAGTGCTGTGAATGGCAGATGTGTTGTCTCAGCTCATCACTTGTTGAGACTCACAACAACTATCAGGCCAACTGTTAGCCAATGTCCACAGGGGTAGCAAACAGTTTGCTAAATCCTTTACTTTGGTCTAGGATTTGATCAATGAGCATAATGAGGGGGAGGATGTTTAGAAGAGCCTTGTCTTTTTTAGAAGAGTCTGGTCACAAAAACTATGAAAACATCTGTTTCAAATCTGAATAGCAGGATAATGATGAGTTTATACCATTGATTCTCAACACTGTCTCCACAATGTTCCGATACCTGGGCCCACTCCAGACCATTTAAGTCAGAATTTCTAAGGGGCACTACCATGTTTCAAAAGCTCCCTGGTGATTTTAACATACAGGCAGAACTGAGATGGTTGAGTTATACATTTTTTTGATCCTTCTATGTTCGTGCCCTAGTCCAGGTGTTCTCAGTCTTTTTTTCTTTTCTCTATCTAACAAGCCTGAGGTTTAGAAAAGTTACCTATCAGTAATAGAGGCTCACCAAAGAGTGGTTTGTGAGGGAGATAAGGAGACATATTCTAGGAAAGCATGTTAGAATTTAATTGGGGAGGGAGAGGCAAAGAAAGCTTGTGTTGGTTGAAAATTTCCTCCCAATGTTTCATATCTGCAACCTCTTTGATGGTCATAGACCTTACCCAAAATTTTCCTCTCCCGTCTTGGTAATATGCAAGTAATATCTAATTCCATCTCACCTTGCTCCAGGCTGCGGTACAGAAAAGCATTAAGTAAGGTTCCTTTCTCTTCTTGATGCCCAACTTCAGATCAAGTTTGGTCTTACTGCTTCTGGCCAAAGGCTGTTTCAGAGCTTGCAGAGCCAAAGTCTTGCTGTAGCCTGGTCTTCCAGGTGAGTTACAGCTTGGGATTGAGAACCTAAGTACACCAAAGAAAAGAAAAAGCAACATTTTACAGGCAATTTTTAAAATAAACCACTACATATATTACACTGTCATACAGCTTTGACTTTTAAACTGCCATTTCAAAAAGATAATCTCTTAAATGTATTTACCTGTCTGTGTTAGGTGAGAAACAACTTACATTTTTGAGTACTGATCTTGAGTAAATATTAGTTGAAATTTATTTTAAAAAACACCTGAATGGATCCAAGCAGATAAGTGGAGAAAAATATATATAAGACCTGCCCCATCAAGGCTTCAAATGCAGGCTGACTGGCTGGAGGAAGCTACCAGCTGGTCGTAAGAAATGCACATTTGTGAAGACGAGCAGTGTCCAGAGAGACCATGCTGCTCTCATCCCTTTGGTTCTCCAGCCCCACCTTTCCTGAGTTCTAGAGGAAAGTACACTATATGAAAAGAAAATATCAGTCTTGAAAAAAAATTAAAATTAAGATTAATCAGTGCAACCATGGAAAGCAAACACGCAACTTAGGCACTCTCCTTCATAACAAGTAAAGCCCTAAACATTATCCCCTCAGTTATCTGTCTTCAATTAGTACAGTTTTGTCATGGGTTTGTGGTGAACTTCTAAAAAAATGCAAGATAAAAATTAAAGAGATGGATATCTCAGTTTAAAAAAAAGACACAAAAAAGTAGAGACAAATGTAGTTTCAGTCTGATTAAATTAGATTTATTTGTTAAGAAGTGTTTTAAGTATTAATAAGTTACTTTGAAAAAAAGGGAAACAAACTATTAAGAAAGTATTTAACTTACTTAGTACAAGGAAATTGTACTTAATTCAAAAGCACACATAGAGCATCTACCTGGAGACAGGCAAGGTGCTTTGGGTCCATAATGGAGCCTATGCCTTTGCTCAAGGGGTTTACAATAAATGTCGCTTCCTCAAACAAGACTTCCAGCACCCTGCAGACTGGGTCAGGTCTCTGTAACACTTCCTCCCTGTACTTCCCTTTTACAGCACTTTCTGCAACAGTCTCTTTGTAATTTGTTTTGAAATGAATCAATGTCTTCCTGAAAAACATGAGCTTCATCAGGAAATCACAGTGTTTGTTCATTACTGTAACCCCAGAAGCTGGAAGAGTGCCTGGCACAGAGAACATCCTCAGTAAATGTTTGTCAAATGACTAAACAAATGAACATCAATAACTAACATAAAAGATAGAAAGTAAGAAGTAATGTAAGAAATAAGGTAAGAAAACAAAAAGATGGCTATGCGTCTAGTTGGTAAGATATAGGAGAATTCACTGAGTGGAAGACTTTTCTTCAAAATCACATATTGTTGAATTGTTTCTTTAAGGGGCATGAGGTTTTTTTAGAGCTTTTCTGTTGTTTGCCATAGCCTTATTGAGGTATAATAAACATACAATAAACTTCACATGCTTAAAGCGTACAATATAAGAAGTTTTGACACCTACATATAGCTGTGAAACCATAACCACAAGTAAGATGTCCATCACCCCAAATAAGCATCCTGGTGCCTCCTTATAGTCTCATCTCCTGTCCCTTCCTGAGTCCCAGTCTCTGGACAACCAGTGACCTCCTTTCTGTCACTCTGGGTTAATTTGCAATTTCTAGAATGTTACATGAATGGAATCATACAGTATATATTCTTATTTTGTCTGGCTTCTCTGACTCAGCATAATTATTACAAAATTCACTGATGTTGTTGCCTGAATTAATAATTCATTCATTTTATTGCTAAATAATATCATATTATGTGCCAACATCACAATTTCTTTAGCCATTCACCTATTGACAAACAGATATTTTTGTCAATAATTTGGGGTTATTACCTATAGAGTTGTCATCACATTTACATATAGTCATTGTGTGGACATCTGCTTTCATTTTTCTTATATAAAAACCCAGGAGTAGAATGGCTGATGATATGGCATATACATGATCAAATTTTTAAGAAAAGTTTACTAAAATGATTGCCTCAGTTTGCATTTCTAATAGCAGTTTATAATAGATTTAGTTGCTCCAAATTCTCACAAAACTTGGTATGGTCAGTCTTTTAAATTGTGCACAATTTAATAGGTATACCGTTATCTTGCGCTTTTAATTTGAATTTCCCTATTATATAATGATGTTGAGTATCTTGTCATGTGCTCATTTTCATCCATATATCTTCTTTAGTGAAGTGTCTCTTCCAACTTTTTACATATATTTAATTATTTTTGTTTCTTATTATTGAATTTTGAGCATTCTTTATACATTCTGGATACAAGTCCTTTATCAGATATGTGATTTGCAAAAATATCCTATCAGTCTGTTATTTGCCTTTCATTCTCATAATGGTGTCTTTCGAATAGCAGAATTTTTTCATTTGATGAAGCCAGAGTCATGGCTCAAATACCGCAGAAGCTGTAGTGAATCCTGCCTGGTTGGATAACTGTTTGCTTTTCAATTTACCAAAAGGAAGTGGAGTCACTGCTGAAATCAAGTTCAAGAACCAATAATCTGAATCACTAGTCATCATGCTGCCCCCTTAGAACTAATTTTCAAACCAGAAAACTAGGGCAACAACGTGTCTAAGGAGTCACAGCACGCACGGCTCCTAGGCCTGCACACGACCCTAGTGTTAGGCGCTCACCAAGCAGACAGCCTGTCTCACGGGACTCCTATCACCAAGTGAACTACTGATTTTCAGCTCCATCTTTCTGCAGGTTTAATGGTGATAATCCAGTAAGGAAGATGGCTTAGAAAGAAGCTGCTACCTTTATAGTTCTGCAGACTTAATGTGGACTATAGAAAACCTATCCCCTGGGCATTTGGCTAATTGCACACTGTCATCAAGGTTTGCATGTCCCTTTGTTCTTGCAAAATCGGTTGGAATAAGCCATTAACTTTCTATTAGACCAGCATTAGTGGATTCAGTGTGTTGATCCCCTTCTGATAGAAAATTTATATGCAATAAATAATTTAACATTGAAATTTACATTACACAGAAATTTCCTGGTGTGATATCAGGGATTATTATCTGAAACAAATTACAAGCAAAAAAAAAAATTATTTATACAATATCTATACACCAAAGATAGGGTTTAGAAAATCGCCATTAAACCAATAGACCATAAAATGAAAACAGACAGTATTAATTCAAAGGGAAAAATCAGCAACTGTCTTATTTAAATATTGACACAAAATAGTAAGTTATATTTGGAAAACCAGTAAGTTTTTTGAATTAAAGAAAAGCCAGCAAGAAGGAAAATACTCACAAGGGCTTTTAAAAATTATTTATTTAAAACTATTTCTGCCCCGTTAGCCTAGCTTCACTTCTTGTTTGTGAATGAGAGAATCACTCTAGATGAAGCAGGAGATTTAGCACTTAAATATACACCAAAAAATATGCACTAACCTATTTTAGAGGAAGAACAAGAACTTTGATGTTTCTAGAGGAATAAAACATACGTGCTTTCCTAGATTTGGAAATATTACAGCTGTGTATTTTCTTTTCATCTCCATATATTTCCTTTCTTAATAGAAATCTTGCTAAAAATATCAACTATAATCAGAGGCAATATATGATAATGTAGGTAGATTCCCAGAAATGTTTTCTAATCAATGGCTGCTACTTAAATAAGAAAATGAGAAGAGGAAATGCATTATTGCAGCATTAAGCAATTAGGAAGCATTATCAAATTAGAGTGTCCAGAGAATGTTAAAAGTTGGCATAATAAAATTTTTCTCCCTGTCTTGGGTCAAGCATCACTATTTAATTCACAATACTTTCAAAATAACATCAATATGATTTTCCTCTCAGCTTTCAGAGTGTAAACACTTTCTCCTGGGCATACAGAGTGAGGGAAAAAAATCTCTCCACTCCCATCAGAATCTAGACTAAGTTTGTCCAATGCTGGTAGAGAATTTCTTGTTGAGTCTCAGAAGTCACCCACAAAACAAATTCCAAAAAAACAATGCATCAGTATGTCAAAGCAGAAGTAGCGGTGTGGCAGCTGTGTCACAGGAATATGTCACCAGCAGAGAACTTACAGAATCTAGATTCTAGTGATCACTTATCACATCCGTTCACCACCCACAGCATAATGAGCCCAAGGTGGAAGACAGTGGTATAGATTTAGCTTCCCCTCCTCCTCCTCCCAAAATGTTAGATCTGAAATACAGTTGGGGAGGAGATTTTTCCGTGAGTGCTGACTGTTCTGACTACAATAATGAAACCATCACAAAATCTCCTGTAATTCACACTCCTTTCCCTATAGCTCATTTTGAATAAGATATGGCAAGGGACAGCCAAGGCTTATGTGAGCTTTCTATCTGGAAGGCCCTTTTGCATTTGAGGCATCAGCCTGGGCCAGGGCCTAAACTGGGGGGAGAACAACAAAGAACTGGCTCTGGTCCCTACATTTAGAAGGAAGTTAACAGTGGGAAATGTATGGCAGTGTACCTGCTTCCATTAAATAATAAGTATGTGTATCTTTGGGTAGACATCAGGACTGGTGTAAATATCTTTGAAACAGAGACATCAAATATCACCTAAGGTGTCATGGGATGTCACATGGAGCTAAAGAGATCGTATGGGGGAAAACTCTGAAATCTGTGACTAGTAATAACAACCAACATTTTTGTGAGAGTTACAGTTTACAATGCACTTTAAACTTCTTCAGCAAAACAGTAATTATAATATTACCCACATAATAGGACTGCTGTGAGAATTAAATCGGTTAGAACTTGCAGAGTCTGAAATAGCACCTACTACATATAATACATGTGAACATTACCGCTGTCATCACTATTAGCTGTTTCACTCCTCTATAACTTTATTATTCCAATGTTGCATATGAGAAAACTAACATTCTCTAACTATAGATTTTGTGTTCTGATACACCACACTGTTTTAATAATAACAAACATTACTATTATTACTAATACAGTCGGCATGCATTCAGTGTTAATGATATGCTGTCTTTCATGGAAGTTAGCCCATTCAACCCT